CACAACGGCTATTGAAGATTGGGTTCCGAGTGCGTTCTTCTGCTAATCGAACCGTATATCCATGGGGCGGAGCTCACTCGCCATCGTAATCAGCTAGCCGCCGTGCACTTGTGTGACGCACACTACGTCACCGACGCCGCCAAGTATGTATCCGTTCTTCTACTGTCCCTTCGAACGATGCTTCAGCTGGAACTACCTCACATCAACGTTTTGTCAAAGATCGACCTCCTGTCGCACTATGGTGATCTAGGTATATGATAGATTGTGATACCACCCCCACACAAGTTTGACCAGCCCTCTTGAAATCGTATAGACTTTAACCTTGACTTCTACACTGAAGTCCAGGATCTGTCACACCTTGAGAATGTCCTCACCACAATCTCCCCACGGTTCACAGCACTTAACATGGCATTGATATCCGTCATCGAAGATTTTGGTCTCGTAGGATTCGAGACGCTGGCTGTTGAGGTATGCAGCAGCTTCCTGCTTTTTTCGTCGCCGTTCGCTGTGTAAGGTTGACATACGTTGGGTCAAAAAGGACAAAGCTTCCATGCTCCACCTCGCGCGAGCCATTGATCGTGCAACTGGATATATATTCGTTCCTCCAAGGGAAGCTCCCGCACCAGAGGGCACTATCGATAGTTCTGCGGATTCTGCGTCCGCTCGGCCCAATGCATTCTCCCTCTTCTCGACTGCAGCAAGACCACTTCCTGGAGACGTGCAAGATGTTCAGGAGCGCTGGATAGATGCTAGAGAGGAATACGATGCGTATGAGAAAAAAGAGTGGAGGAGAGAGGGCGAGATCGTTCAGGCGCAGACTGCCGCAGAGAGAATGAAACGTCCTGAAGAACGGAAAGTTAAATCAGTCGGAATCAGAGAAAGGAAATGAGGTTAGCGAGTTATCTTCTTTGCCACTTTCATAGTTCAAAGCATTAAACTATGCACCAAAACTTGTTTGCCGTGCTATCAAACACAATCATCTACGCAAACAAACGTCCTGATGAGGGGAAAATGAAGGTCGCCGAGATTAGAGAGAAGAAGGGAGGTCAGTGAGTTCCCTTTCTTGCCATTCATAAACCTTGGAACATTAAACCATACACAAAGCTTTCATCGGAACATTTCCTTTGATTTTTCTTCACGGTCCTCAAACCGGACATGCATATTGCATGTACATAATCTCATCTTATCTCTGATTCCGATCCAGTCGGCATTTACGTACCCACTAATCTTGTGACCCCTTGCCACAGCCCGAGCCCGGATGACACTCGAACACCTCGTGATACACATGAATAAAGTTTAGTATATTACGTCCATCTCTACCTAGAGATGATCAAACGAACTAGAACATAAACGGTCGTCGTTTTGGCTACGGTAACAGTGAAACGACCCATCTTCCTCATACATAGCCCAGACAAAAGGAACCTAACCAATCAGACAACGGGTGGGCGCTTTCGTGAAGTTCTCGGATCCGTCCTTGCATCGCGCTGGTGAGCAGAACCAACCCCCACACTCGTGAATACTGTGCCAGCACTCCTAGTGCTGTCTTCACTCTCTCCGGAGCGCATCCTCGTGGCTTGTGGCCTCGCTTCCGCATGACAGATTGGCTTGGCTGATGGCGGCCCCTGCAGCGGTGCCGAATCAGCCTCAGCGGTTGTGGTCGCCGTGTCAACGGAGCAGTTTGCAACACGTTTGATGCGCTTTTCCGAGTGATAGGGATGCCTGGGAGGTGGTGGTGAGGGGGATGATGATGATGATGATCCGGCCGGAGCAGTAGGTGAGTAAGGTGGGGGGTTCATACGCCCTCGCCGTGGTGGCGGAGATTCGTTCCTTCCTACGAGTGCCTCTGCAGATTTGGTCGTGGTGGGTACTGAACGTATAGGTGAGAAGAATGGAGAGATCATATCGGCGGCGTCTGTGATGGGGGCGGAGAGTGGTGAGGTGATCATGGGTGACATGGGGGAAGCAAAGTGTTGGCTGGCATTAGGAAACTCCTGCGAAGACAGGGTTGAGGTCACTTTGTATGGGGAAGTTACCGTCTGGGCCATTGAAGGGTGCGGCAGCGGCGGGGAAGATGAAGATTGCTGGGAGGCTGGTTGAAGTCGAGCTTGGTGTCGACGCCGGCGAACGATGTACCAGAGTATGAAACCTGCCAAACCGAACTACGGCAAGGGCCCCGACGATCCCACCAATGATCGCACCAGATGAAGAACTAGATGAAGTGGACGTCGCACTTGGTGAAGAGCTTGCAAGTGGTTGTCCGGTGACATCAGGCGTCCCTAGCGCAAGGTGAGATTCCGTCATGCGTTTACGTACCGGTCATACATACCTGATGATCCATTCACAGCTGCTTCATTCTCGTTGAATGTACCATTTGTCCAATATATTGCTGTGGGAGGTGCATTAGTTTGATAATTGACATAATTGCAGCGCTAACTCCGGTGCGTACGATTAGTAGCCGCGAAGAATGGGATTTTTTCATTTTCCGGAAGTCTGCAGCCTTGATCCCAAGGATAGTACCTACAGACTTCTTGTTAGCTCCCCGTGAGAATCCTACGATTAGGTACTAAGGACGCCGTACGTAGTCGAAGACACGTAGTTTCCGCAACTTGCGCTGTATGTGGCCCAGCTGTGCCAGAGTCAGCGAAAGCGGCGGTTTCAGAGCGGTCGAGAGGCGCACCTTGCCCAGGTAGACTGCTGCGTGCAAATAGCGCAAGCACTGAGGAGGTTGTAGCTTGCCCATGAACTGTGTATATCGATCGTCAGTATTGAGGATAGAATACAGTTGGCTTGTGCGCATTGACCAGGTGGTGTAGCTAGCCGTCGTTGCATTAGGAATGTACAAACTCTCTTTGAAGGTTGAGTTTGACTTCGCCGATATCGTGTCTGTCAGAATGAGATGTCAGAAACTGTCTACAAGGGAGGTCTGAACCACGACCAACAGCTCAGCCCACAGGATTGGTCGACCATCTGGGCGGCACAACATGGATCTAGTCCGGACTGGCTTGTGAAGTACGAGGCACATTGTACAGAAACCGAAGGGCAGCTGTAAGCCATAGCGTCCAAGACAAAAGCCTCGACGGCTCGACCCTGAAGCTTGCTTTGACCGGAGCGGAACAGACCAAGGATGGGAGGAAGGAAGGCCCGCGCGGCAAAAGTAAGGTGTGGAGGCGCAAATATGTCACACGGGACGTTGGCCTGAGGCACTGACTATACCTCCTTTGACAGTCGATGGCGGCGCTCTCTGGAACAGTCCGGGTAGAAGAACCCCGTGAACGTGGCTCGAAGTCACTGCGTGTATGTCGCGAAGCCTGGGCCGGAGAATTGGAATATCAGCGGATGTTATGGCCTTAATAACTCAAGAACAAAAAAACCCAGTTTTTCGCGTCTTCGCTCAGGAACGCAGCGGAACACGGGTATGGATGACCAGGTTCAAATGGCACCCAGCTTTGGAAAGAGCTATCGATTCGGCTATCTTGACGCTTGCCACGTTGAGATAGTGTGCAGCCACCGTGGACGTGTATGGAAGTTTCAAATGCACTAAACCGCCATCGGAAGGTTTCGATGAGATGGATGGGGTGACAATTCAATTTCCCATCTATGTAAAGCGTCCTCCGTCGCAGTGGTCCCACTTATGATAGGATTAACTAGGGCCACAAGTTGAAGTAGTGGCAAGACTGGGAGACCTCCCGTTATATAAGCAGCTAGCTGCAAGTTTCCACCTTTGCTCACACATTACTTGGGACTTACCTGAATGGCCAACCAAGTAAACCCTAGTGGATTTTCATCATCGCCCCCGCAGCGGTGATAGCCACTAGACTGTGTCTTGTGATAGATATCAAAATGCATGGCGTGGGTACCATGATCTGGGCTAGCAACTTCAACGTCACCTCACGTTTTGAAGGCAGTGAGGTCTACCATGAGGCTGCCATGGCCAACGTCCGCCTTGAGCAGACGGGTGACCATTATCCTCCAGTTTTTGCTTCTTATTGTAGCGCCGTACCCGCATTCTACAGCGTCAACGATTCTACTCCACCCGTATCCGCGCGCCGACATCAGCTCCCAAGCTCATTGCTCGAGCGACTATGAATGGATGCAGAACCAGGAAACCACCAGTCCTTGTCTGCTCGTTGCCTACGTTATATCGGCCTGTGCCGGAAACAGTAGGTTCCCCCCTTGCTACCGCTCAGGCATTGCGTTGATAAGTTTTTTGTAGATTGGACGCTGCCTGCCTTACTACCGGGATCTCAATACGACGGCCCCGCTGGACAAACGGTCACGCCCTGCTCTTGGTATGGGTTGACTTGGTCGCCTGACATCATAACCACCGACTTATCGAGCTTTTAAGTTCTTGGTCCTGCTATAACCTGATGATGGCGTGCACGCTTTGCCAGAGCACCAACAGTTCAGACGGTTATAACTTGCAGACGTGAGTAACCCTGCATTACCCTTAATACGTTCTTCCAAGCCTAACCCCGCTAATTCAGATGGCCAACATTCGTCGAGAATTGCACGTCCGGTGAGACGAATGTGTTAGTTTCGGTTTTTCAGTCTTTATGCTATCTTGCGTCTGATACGTGATTCACTAGGTACTTCCCCTCCGGCTATTCTATAGCGGGAAACCAAACTATTCCCTACTGGGCCGCCATCAATCGTGCGTGGATACATCACAACAAAGACCTGCTAACCCACACTCTCAAAAGCAACAAATTGGGAAGGGCAAATCTGGAATGAACAAGAAGCTTATCAGTACTACCAAGAAAGTGAGACATCTACATCACCTTCGGCTTCTCTCATTTAGGTGAATGCAATCAGACAAGACGGATCTAAACCCAAATGTGTCTACTGCGTCCACTGGATCTCAATCTAGGAACCTAGGTGCCATCGTTGGAGGCACTGTGGGCAGTGCTGCATTTGTTCTTCTCCTAGGTTCTGGGACCTACATCCTGTGTAAACGCCAGCAGTATCGCCGCGTCCGAACTCCTCCGGTGGCAGAAGTAAATGGAGGGCAGAACCCGAACTGGCAGATGCACAATTGCCAACTATCCGACCAGTCTACGGCGACCGGTTTGCAACCGATGACTGTGTCTTCCATGACGTACCATACTGGTGCTGGCTCGCAAACGGTTCCGTCGTTGCGCTCGTCTCTCCCGCTGACGAGTTTCACCCTCGGAGCGGATACCGCTTCATATAATATGAGTGGCACACAGCTGCGTCCTCCCGCTCCAATGGTGTAGTGTCATTCTTTACGTGGTCTTTGAACAAGAAAGATGTAAGACTAGACTCGAGCTCGCTATCTGTCCTGCGGATGTAGATTATTTGTATATGCGTCCTTGTCATCGGCGAGTGCAGATTGGCTGTCTATTGTAGGTATTTCCCACATTGGATCACAGCATTGCCATAACCCTCCAGAATTCCAATAGATTCCAGTGCATAAACTGCAGGCCCGAGCTTTGTGTCATACACCGGATGATTCATGAAACTTGATTATCTTTGTGCATGGTAAGCTGTAGTGCTGCAGAAGCTTCTTATACTCAAGTTTGCTGGATGGACTTGGCATGCCATATCAGCAAAACCTGGGACAGGTGTCCAGCTGGCCAAGTGGCTAATAGACTGGTCACTAGACTTTAGTGACAATTCAATTGCCCATCTATGTAACATCACTACTAGCCTTACACCTTGATATTCCTTAATTTACCATTGGCCATGCTTGGGTTCACCATTGTAAATGCTTTATATAAATTGTAATGCTCTGTGAAACTTTATTGCTGGACTTGATGAAAGTCCTCCATTGTGGTAGTGCCACATGACTGGAAGGCCTCCCATTATGTAAGCAACTAGGGAAGTTGGAAACCTGCAAGTTTCTATGTCTTTTCTCACACATACTTGGAACTTACTTGGATGGCCAGCCAAGTAAACCTTAGCGGCTTCTCATCATCACCCCGGCCGCGGCGATAGCCGGCACTGCACTGTGTCTTGTGGCAGATATCAAAGTACATGGCGTGGGTACTGTGATCTGAGCTACTTCGGCGTTACCTCGTGTTTTGAAGGCAGTGAGGTCCGTCATGAGGCTGCCGTGGCCAACCTCCACCCTGGGCAGAGTGGCGACAATTATCTTCCAGTTGTTGTTTCTTATTGTAGCGTCGTACCCGCATACTACAGCGTCAACGATGCTACTCCACCCGTATCTGCGCAGCATCACCTCCTTAGCTCAATGTGAGAGCGGGTATGAATGGATGGACAACCAGGAAACCATGCCTCCTTGTCTGCTCGTTGCCTATGTTATAGCGGCCTGTGTCGGAAACAGTAGGTTCCCCCCTTGCCACTGCTGAGGTGTTGCGTTGATAAGTTCTTTGTAGCTTGGACGCAACCTGCTTTACCTCCAGGATCTCATTACGACGGACCCTCTGGACAAACAGTCACGCCCTGCTATTGGTATGATTTGACTTGGTCGCCTAACATCATAACCACCGACTTATCGAGCTTTCAAGTTCTTGGTCCTGCTATAACCTGATGATGGCGTGCACGTTTTGCCAGGGCGCCAACAATACGGACAGTTTGCAGACGTGAGCAACTTCGCAGTACCTTTAATACGTTCTTCCGAGCCTAATTCCGCTAATTCAGATGGCCAACATTTGTCCAGAATTGCACGTCCAGCGAGACGGATGTGTCAGTTTTGGTATTTCATCTATGTGCTATCTTGCTTCTGATACACAATTCACTAGGTACTTCCCTTCCAGTTATTCTATAGAGGGAAACGAAACTATTCCTTACTGGGCCTCGATCGATCGTACGTGGATACTTCACAACACAGACCTGCTCACCCACACTCTCGAAAGCAACGACTTGGGAAGCGCAAATCTGGAATGAGCAGCAAGCTTATCAATACTACCAAGAAAGTGAGATATCCATATCACCTTCGTCTTCTGTCATTTAGGTGAATGTAATCAGACAAGACGGACCTGAACCCGAATGCGCCTACTTCATCCACTGGATCCACTGGATCTCAATCCAGTAACCTAGGTGCCATCGTTGGAGGCACTGTGGGTGGTGCTGCATTCCTTCTTCTCCTAGGTTTTGGGACCTACATCCTATGTAAACGCCGGCGATATCGCCGCGTCCGAACTCCTCCGGTGGCAGAAGTAAATGGAGGGCAGAACCCGATTTGGCAGACCCACAATCGCCAACTATCTGATCAGTCTACGACGACCGGTTTGCAACCGAGAACTGTGTCTCCCATGACGTACTATACTGGTACTGGCTCGCAAACGGTTCCGTCAATACACTCGTCTCTCCCACTGACGAGTTTTACCCCCGGAAGGGATACCACTTCATATAGTACGAGTGGCGCACAGTCGCGTCCTCCCATTCCAATGGTGTAGGGTCGCTCTTTACGTGGTCTTGGGACAAGAAAGATGTGAGACTGGACTCGAGCCTGCTATCTATCCTGCAGATGTATATTATTGTATACTTCCCTGTCTTCCTGTCTTCCAATGTAATATCCTTTCTACTGGTGTACACTTCTCTTCGGACAAATGTATGTGCCTCTATGAACTTCGATTTTCTCGGGTATAATGGTTTGTTAATACACCCCCACATCAATACAGGGGGTTTCAGTTGCGTGAAGAAGTGTGGGGTAGATTTATCAGGACGCCGGGTGAGTGCAGATTGGTTGCCTATCGTAGGTATTTCCCGCATTGGATCACAACATTGCCATAGCCCTCCAAAATTCCAATAGATTCCAGTGCACAAACCGCCGGCCCGAGCTTTGCGCCGTACAGCGGGATGATGATTCATGAACTTGATTGTCTCTGTGTACGTTAAGTTGCAGTGCTGCGGAAGCTTCTTGCGACCAAGTCTGCCACATGAACTTGGCATGTCACGTTAATTTGCTATGAGTTAAATTTCATCGCTAGCCCGACCAATCAAACGCGAGCGCTGCGAGCTCTTTATCGCACGATTCATTTAGGACACGAAGCAGAATCGCATCTAAATCAGTCGAAGCACAGCGACAGACTCTACATGTGCTGTCTGGGGGAACAAATCAAATCCCCTCAGACTCTCCACTACATACCTTGCCTTCTCGTCTGCACTTTTCCCCATCTTGTCAAGAATCATCCCAACGTCCCTCGCTTGTGTATGAACGTTACAACTGACATAGACGACAGTTTTGCAACGGAACGCAACGAGCTGATCGATAAAGTTCTCATCGCATCCCTTCCGTGGCGGGTCGATGATCAACGCAGTCTTCTCCCGCGGAAATTCGGATACGACAGAAAAAATGTTGGCAGCATCGCCGGCGCGGAACGTGCATCGCCCTTCAGGAATATCATTGAGATGCGCGTTATGAGTAGCAAATTTGATCGAGTCAGCAGATAGTTCGATACCCGCGACTGTTTGGAAATGTGAACACAACATGATGGAAAAAAGACCGCTCCCGCAATAGGCATCTACTAGATGCGTGGGATGCTGGTGGTCGGGGGAATGTTTCAGGCTTGTTGGGAAGATTGCATCTCGGACGTAGTCAGTGAGGGGAACAAGGATTGAGTTGTTGTTCTGGAAGAACGAGTGACCGGGGAACTCAAAATACTTTTCCCCGACCTTTTCCCGAACTATCGCTTTGGGATCGGTTATGCAAATATGACTTTCCTCTTCTTGCGATTGGCTGTCTGTGTCACTCGACATAGCTTTCTCGTTCGCTGGGTTCGCCTTTATTGAATCCCGCAACAGTAACGAAACGCCCTTCTTGTATGACCATATATTTCTGTTCGCCGATGAGACAGCGCTGCAGTGACAGAACGTGGCCACCCACCCGATGATATCTTTCCGTATTCGACCAAGAGCCTCGTTCAAGACAGGGGTAGCGATTGGGCATTCCTGAAACATGTCAGGCAACATGCAAAGACACCGCGAAAGAGGTCTGACCTCGATATCCATGACAGTCCTCTTGCCGATTTCGTTGAATCCGATCTTCAACCAATCTGGTTTGGAAGTGCTGGCGTCCGCGGATTCTGTTTGTCGGGCTCGTTTTGGAGCCGCTTCGAAATGTGGAGTAATCTTAGTACGATAATTGTACTGTAGGGGCGAGCCGATTGTCGGAAGAACAGTTGGTATTGAGGATTCGATTAGTCCTAGTAGTTCGTATCTAAGAGCGGAAAAGAGTATAAATTAACTGAGACACACCGGAAAAGTTCTGATACGCCTTGATGACTACATTGCGCTTGATGTCGAGTTGACTCTCGTATGATAACATCTGTTCACTTGAATACCAAACTCAAGAAGAGGAAAAAACGGACAAACCTGATACTGACATCCCGAGCACTTGCCAAAATATTTACACCTGACCCGGCTGTTGCCCCGCAACTCGAGATTCGGGGATACCACTTCGAGTAAATCTGCGAAGGAGTGTAGCCGCGAACTACGATATACCCGCACGCGTACCCTCTCCCCTGGCAGCGCGAACGGGACTACAATCACCCATGAGTTGCGCGGGTCCGGTCCGATTGCCAACGCGTCACCTGCGGTATGCAAGACAGTCGGCCGTCGTCAGCAGCAGATTCAACGTGACCGTCAACGGCTTGGTCAAAGGTACAATATATATACGCACCATTGGATGACAGCGCGGACACGGTTACTTCAAGCTCCTCCCTGAAGTCGAATGGCGATTCCCACTCAACACCCTGCGCAATTTTCTGATCGACGGTTTCTGATCCCAACAGAGAGACGACGTCATGCCAGAGCACGTCTTCAGTCGAGCACGGCTCCGGAATCGCGTGCTTTTTTCTTTTCTTCTCCTTTCGTGCATGCTGTTTCTTCTGCCCCTGACCAATAGAAGAAGTAGCCCTGGTAGACGCAGGTGTTAAATTGGCTTCACTGACATCCACTCGCTGTCGTTTCTCAGCCGGTGCAGTGTCCTCTTGGTCCGATACCGAGTGGTGTCTCACTTGCCCAGACATCGCAGTGACCACACCCCTCGTCAGCCTGTGTGGTCTGTAGTGACAGGCCCTCAGTGCCCTCAAGAAGGTGGTCATACAAGAAAAAGGCGATGGGAAGGGGTTGACTACCCGATGTGGTAATAATAGGAGTTGACCCCCCTCCTCGAGTTACGTAATTCGGAATCTGGTCGTTTTGCTCACCCGAACCGGTCCTCGACTCCTGTTTTCCCATCAATCAACGTATAAAAAGCCGATCGGGAATCCAGACCGACATTCACCAATTTTCATGTTCATCGACGCAGCTCGCTCACTGCTGGTTCAGTCTCCCAAGGTTACACACCATGAGCCTGTAGACTCACCAGAATTCTGGTGCAAGATTGCTATCAGTGCGATTCTCGT